AAAAAACTATGTTAATATTACCTTACACAGTAATATCTTAAACTTCATATTTCCTTTTTCTTTTTTTTTTTGGCCAGTTAGTGGTAATTTCTACTTTCAACCTAAAGAAAACAGTTCTGAGGGCACTAGATTGGCATTTGTATCTGGAAAGAAATGATGCATTTAGAATGTTTTATATGTTCAAAGAGTTGTGGCTAAAAAATTATATGGTGCAGCTGGAGGAAGGAAACTCGGAACTGCCCACACGGGAGGTGACAAGACACACAGCAGGATGCTCAGGAGTGGAGATGACTAAGTATGGAGGTGAGGGCTTTACAGACTCTTTTACAGCAAATGCGGCAGAGAACTCTCTTCTAGTGATTGATTAACATAAACCCTCTATAAACTTTCTTTCCAATTAGGCTCATCCAAACTCTATTTCATTTTTAAAACATACAGTAAGGGTGGGAGGGGGGTGTGGAATGAGAAATTATCTACTGGGTAATTAAGTGGGGGAGGGTTACACAAAAAGCCCAGACTTCACTATGCAATACATCCATATAACAAATCTGCACACATACCCCATAATTCTATAAAAATAATAAAAACAAAGTGGTAAAACCTCAGCTATTCAGAACCCTTAAAGCCTGACTTTGTCAATGACCGAGTATTTTAAGATTCATTCATTGATGCATCAAGTATTTTCCTGAGCTATATATGCTGGAATTGTCTGTTGGAATGGGAGCGTCAAACAAAAACATTTACCAGTAAGATGAAAAGAATGATCTCTGTTAAGGGTTCTATGAAAACAGAAGGAAGAACGTGGAGATCAGAGTTAAGGAAAACTCTTGAAGTGATTCAGCTCATGTAAAAAAAAAAAAAAAAAAAAAAAAAAAAAAGAAAAGAATGATCTCTGTTAAGGGTTCTATGAAAACAGAAGAAAGAATGTGGAGATCAGAGTTAAGGAAAACTCTTGAAGTGATTCAGCTCATGTTAAAAAAAAAAAAAAAAAAGCATATTTACAGACCCTTCCTGCCTTCTTAAATGGACCATACTGAGGGTAGGGAATCCTCCTTTGATGCACAAGGGCCACAATCATGAATGTCACTGTGATGTATCAGAGATTTAAAATGCAGAGGAAGTCGGATATTTACAATAAACTGGTATGACTCTAGGAAAAACGTTTTATTTAAAAGTCCAAGGCCATAGCTTGCTTTTAGGCCTCTCACCTAAAAGCAAAAAAAGGTGATCTCCTGGGCAAAGACAGAGGTCTAACAGTAAAACCAAACAGTGAGTGTGAGGTGGAAGTAGTCTTCATATGAAAGTTTTTCTCACTTTCTAGACTATCATCTTCTGGGTAACTCTTCACTGTTGGCATCATAATACTACACCCCAGAGGTACCGTTTGGAAAGCTGTTCTCATTCACTCCTCACTAGTCATGTTTTCTCACCATTCCAAGATTTGAAGGCTTATTCCAAAGTAAAGTTCAATGGAGACCATGAGGATGCCCCCTCTTTTCTCTCCATTGTACTTGGCTTCTAACAGAATTCCAAGCATTTGGAACCTTAAAAATTCTATCCTGAATATTCAGAGACTGAAAGTCACTTACAGGTCGATAAATAAACATTCCTTGAGATATCACCTTTAAATTTTTCACATTCTGGATAATACTTTGAATGAGCAGCAGCTGGGGCAGCCAGGAGGATAGGGTGTATATTTCCAAACTCTTACCTACGGCTGTGTGTGTAGGGTATGGGGTAGTATAGACAACCATCTATAGCAAAAGCACCCACACATCTTTCATGAGGCAGTGACACGGCAGGGCTCTTTTGCTCCTAAAATTCCAAGAGTTCCAGCTTCTGTCCCACAAAGGATCCACTGTCCTCTGCCTGTGTTGGCTTCTGCTGAGAGCTCATTTCCACCACCTTGCTCCCCCTGCCCTCATCTTTCTTCTGTCTCCTTCTGGACTGGGCTGTTTCCCCCCCGCCGCAGTGTTTTGGTTTATTCTTTTGTTGTTGCTGGATACTGAATGAAGCTCCGTCACTAAAGAGGGGTGGAGTATTTAATTTACTATACTTTCAGGTATAGGGCTATTCTGTGAGATGGAGAATTCTAGAGGGTAGGATTCTAGATGTCTTCTGTTCTACCATCCACCAGAAACTCTGCCCAGGTGACTAATAAAGTAATGATGGTAAAACAGTAGCTTCTGGGGGACAGAGGTGTGTCAGCCATGGTTCAATCACGGAAATATAACTAGGAGATTATATATTTATATATTTGTACAGGAATCTGTTATCATGTAATTTTGAGAGCTGGTTGATAAAGTCTTCTAAGCTGTCATCTTTGCCCTGCTACTGAAGCTGGAAGTCTCCAGGACAGGCAGAAGCCAGGAGGATGGACATGAAGTGGAGAGTAACCAGCTAGGACCACAAGCATAAGCAAAAGCCCATGAGGACAGAAACCCATGATGGTTTTTGTTGCCTCTGGCATTGAGGGTGTGGGTTTCTTGCAGAAGCCAGGGCCTTCATCACAGAGCTAAACATATACACCTGGTGAGGCCAGAATTAGAGAAGCCAGAGGACAACCCAGCAGAGGGTGCAAGATCCAGCTGCTTCCTCATGCCAACGAGGTGAGCCAGCACATAGTGACATGTATGTTGCTATAAAATGGCTGCTGCTTCACACTGGCCCTCCAAATATCTCATAAGAATCTCCCTTGGGGTCCACCCTAATGAGAAACATATAGGAAAAGGAATTCTGGAAAACATGGTTCAGCCTAGCCAAGCTGACCCATTACCAAGTATTATGAACTGAATGTTCATGTTCCCCCAGAATTCATACGTTGAAATCCTAACCCCCAATGTGATGGTATTAGGAGGCAGGTCCTTTGGGGGGGGCTGATTAAGTCATGAGGATGGAACCCTCATGGATGGGATTGGTACCCTTATAAAGGAGATCCCAGAGAGCTGCCTTGCCTTCTTTCTACCATGTGAGGATACAATGAGAAGTCAGCTGTCTGCAACCCGGAAGAGGAACATAACGAAAAATCCCTAAAGGAAATCTCAAGAAAGCACAGCAATGACATGGAAGGTACATGGAGAATAAAGGCAGGCAAATGTTGAGAAAAGAGCCCTGGACCCTAAATCAGGAGTAGAGGTTTTTGTCTCATTTCCTCTACTAACTGTGACTCCTTAAGCAACTCTTCTCCCTGGGCTTTAGGTTTCTGTCTCTAGAATGAGGACTGTTAGCCTATGAAATCAAAATTCCATTTCCAGGCAAGAATCCACAATGACCAGACTAGGCCTCCATGTTCACATTAACTAGGGAGCTCCCCTCTGGTACATACTCTGATCCTAAGACAAAATCCCTGATTTTCACTGGGAGTCTACCACTGAGGATTACTTGTATGGATGTTCATGATAACATACTGGGGAAACAACAGCTGTATGAGAAAGGATGGGGGAGCTATGAAGATGATTTCTGGACCAAACTCTGCTCCATGCATCTTTCTCCCTCCCCTCCCTTCCTTTCCTTTCCATCCGTTCCCTTCCCTTTTGTGGGAGATGGGGTCTTGCTCTGTCATCTGGCTTAGAGTGCAGCAGTGTCATCATAGCTCACTGCAGCCTCAAACTCCTGGGCTCAAATGATCCTCCTGCTTCAGCCTCCTGAGAAGCTGGGACTACAGGTGAGTGCCACCACGCTAATTTTTCTACTTTTTGTAGAGATGGAGTCTTGCGCTATTGCCCAAGCTGGTCTTGAATTCCTGGGCTTGAATGATCCTTCCACCTTGGCCTCCCAAGGTGCTAGGAATACAGGCATGAGCCACCACGCCTGGCCTTCCATGCATTTTTCGAAGTCTAAACTTTGGTAACCATAGCAGCTGTCATTGTCACTGCTGGCTTGAGCGCCTATTAGAACAGCTAATTGGATTCACTTTTATGTTTTTGTTAGAAGATGCATGAGTCCCTAAGGATGACTGCTGTTATGGGAACAAGTGTCCACTGATAAAATATTTCATCGTTAATTACTTAGTCTAGGCAGCAGCTACACAAGGAGTACAGAGACAACTTACAGGTTGAGGTTTTGGTCACCATACTTCCAGAAGATCAGGGCTGGGGGGACAGATACATTCACAGACAGATGCAATGAAATAGAAGGTTAACAGTGGATGTAGGAGAAGATGTAGACGGAGCAGCTGTGTGGTGAGGGGGAAAATGACAACTCCAGGCAACACTGCTGTTGCCCTTTACTCCATGGTTGTGTGCCTGCCACAAACACACAGACACTGTGTAAGTTACCTTTCATTTTGCATTCACTGTAAGTTTTTTTTATTGCCTTTAGGCTCTTGTTTTATGGACTGAAAATAAGTTTCATGAAAATAAGTTTCATAAGTAACATAGATATCTTTGACCTAACCTTACTCAATTTTTCAGCAGCATGTGACTTCCACTACAAGAAACTATTCCCCACCCCACTGGCTTAATTGAAATATAATATTTTTCCTTGTTTTCTACTGCATTTTGGCTTGCTTTCTTCTTTCATCTTCTCTGGTTACGCCTTTTCTTCTACCTGATCTCTCAATATTGAAAAGCCAGGAATCTACCCTCTATCATGTCAAGATATTAATATAGACATTGGTTCCAGGCTCTTAATGACACTGGCAGAAACAAAATCTATCTAGAGGTACAGAGATCCACTCGAGTCACAGAGAATCCTTAAAGTTAAAGCCTCAATGAACAGACACTCATAACCCCAAATTTCAAAACATAAGGAAAAATAATCCAAATCTAACATGAGCAAAACAGAAAATAGGATTAGAACTCTAAGAACTTCAGATGGATTGATCAATTAGATAACTTAAAAATAAGTGTATCTGAAATAACTTAAAAGAAATACAAAAGAAATCATGAAACAGGACGATCAAAGATGGCTGTGCCCACGTAAAACCGCGAGCACCTGTTGACCTCAGTTTTTTCTCCTTGTCACGTGGTCCTGGTGGTGGCAGGCTGAGCACGAGGACCATGCTGGGCCGGACCCTCCGAGAAGTTTCTGCAGCACTGAAACAAGGCCAAATTACACCCATAGAGCTCTGTCAAAAATGTCTGTCTCTTATCAAGAAGACCAAGTTTCTAAATGCCTACATTACTGTAACAGAAGAGGTGGCCTTAAAACAAGCTGAAGAATCAGAAAAGATATAAGAACGGTCAGTCACTTGGGGATTTAGATGGAATTCCTATTGCAGTAAAAGACAACTTCAGCACATCTGGCATTGAAACAACTTGTGTATCAAATATGCTGAAAGGTTATGTACCACCTTGTAATGCTACAGTAGTTCAGAAGTTGTTGGATCAGGGAGCTCTGCTAATGGGGAAGACAAATGTAGAGGAGTTTGCTATGGGATCTGGAGCCACAGAGGGTGTATTTGGACCAGTTAAAAACCCCTGGAGTTGGCTGGACGCAGTGGCTCACGCCTGTAATCCTAGCACTCTGGGAGGCCAAGGTGGGTGGATCGCTCGAGGTCAGGAGTTTGAGACCAGCTTGAGCAAGAGCGAGACCCCGTCTCTACTAAAAAATAGAAAGAAATGATCTGGACAACTAAAAATATATATAGAAAAAATTTGCCGGGCATGGTGGCGCATGCCTATAGTCCCAGCTACTCGGGAGGCTGAGGCAGTAGGATCACTTGAGCCGAGGAGTTTGACGTTGCTGTGAACTAGGCTGACGCCATGGCACTCTAGCCCGGGCAACAGAGTGAGACTCCGTCTCAAAAAAAAAAACAAAAAAAAAAAACCGCTGGAGTTATTCAAAACAATATAGAGAAAAGAGGAAGCAGAAACCACGTGGTGAGAAGGAAGATTCAAATTGGCTAATAACTGGAGGAAGCTCAGGTGGGAGTGCAGCTGCTGTATCAGCATTCACGTGCTTTGCGGCTTTAGGATCAGACACAGGAGGATCGACCAGAAATCCTGCTGCCCACCGTGGGCTTGTTGGTGTCAAACCAAGCTATAGCTTAGTTTCTCATCATGGTCTCATTGCCCTGGTGAATTCAATGGATGTGCCAGGAATCTTAACCAGATATGTGGATGATGCAGCAATTGTGTTGGATATACTGGGGGGACATGACCCCAAAGATTCTACCACAGTACAAGATCCTGTTAAACCATTCATGCTTCCCAGTTTAACAGATGTGAGCAAACTATGTATAGGAATTCCAAAGGAATATCTTGTACCAGAATTATCAAGTACGATCTCTTTGGTCCAAAGCTGCTAACCTCTTTGAGTCTGAGGGAGCCAAAGTAATTGATGTATCCCTTCCCCACACCAGTTATTCAATTGCCTGCTATCACGTATTGTGCACATCGGAACTAGCATCGAATAGGGCAAGATTTGATGGGCTAGAATATGGTCACAGATGTGACAAAGATGTGTCCACTGAAGCCATGTATGCTGCAACTAGACGAGAAGGGTTCGATGATGTGGTGAGAGGAAGAATTCTCTCAGGAAATTTTTTCTTATTAAAAGAAAACCATGGGCCGGGCGTGGTGGCTCATGCCTGTAATCCTAGCACTCTGGGAGGCCGAGGTGGGTGGATTGCTCAAGGTCAGGAGTTCGAGACCAGCCTGAGCAAGAGCGAGACCTCAACTCTACTAAAAAATAGAAAGAAATGATCTGGACAACTAAAAATATATACATATATATATATAAAAAAAAATTAGCCGAGCATGGTGGTACATGCCTGTAGTCCCAGCTACTTGGGAAGCTGAGGCCGGAGGATTGCTTGAGCCCAGGAGTTCGAGGTTGCTGTGAGCTAGGCTGACGCCACGGCACTCTAGCCAGGGCAACAGAGCCAGACTCTGCCTCAAAAAAAAAAAAAAAAAAAAAAAAAGCCAATGGAAAAAATTCTTTAAAGAACTGGGAGAAAATAACTGCCCAGTTAGAATTTTAAATCCAGTTAAATTATCACTCAAAAATGAGGGTAAAAACAAAGGCAGTTTTAGAAAAACAAATCAGAGAGTTTATTGCCAGAAAGAGGGCTTCAATAAAATAACTACACAGGATACAGTTCAGAAATGGTCAAAACCCAGAACACTGACAATACCAACTGTTGGCGACACTGTGGAGCAACAGAAACTTATTCATTGCTGGTGAGAATGCAAAATGACAGTCACTTTGGAAGACAGTTTGGCTGTTTCTTACCACTCATACTTTTACCATATGATCCATGCTTCTTGGTATTTGCCCAAAAGAGTTGAAAATTTATGTCCATACAAAAACTTGAACACAAATGTTTCTACCAGTTTTGCTCGTAATTGCCAAATTGAGGAAGCAACCACGATGCCCTTCAGCAGGTGACTGGATAAACTGTGGTACATCTAGACAATGGAATATTATGCAGTGCTAAAAAGAAGTTAGCTATCGATCCATGAAAAGACATGGAGGAACCTTCAATATATATTGCTAGGCAAAAGGAAACAATCTGAAAATTACTACAAACTGTAACTCCAACTGTATGACATTCTGGAAAAGGCAGAACTCTGAAGACAGTAAAAAGATCAGCGGTTGCCAGGGCTTCAGGTGCAAGGTAGGAGAGGGAGGGAAGGATGCATAGGTGGTGAACATAGGAGATTTTTAGGGCAGTGAAACTATTCTGTAACGGTGGATACATCATTACACATTTGTTAAAGTCCACAGAATATACAACACAAAGAGTGAATCCTAAGGTAAACTATGGATTTTAGTTAATAATAAGGTATCAATATTGGCTCATAAAGTGTACCACACTAATGCAAGATATTAATAACAGGGAAAAGATGGGGAGTGAGTATATGGGAACTCTCCATACTTCCCACTCGGTTTTTCTGTAAACCTAACCTGGTCAAAAAAATAATTCATTTTTTAAAAAGTAATAAACTATTAATATACAGAAAAAAAGGCAAGGGACTAAATTATTTATAATTTTATGTAACCTCAATAAAAATACCATAACTTTATTTTCTTAGAGCAAGACAAGTTATTATTGACTTTATATGGAAGAACAAATAGCCAGGAAAATCCAAGAGGATTTTACAAAATGTAGATATATGTCCCCCAATTTAATATAGATGAGATATTAATACAGATATGTTCCCCCAATTTTTAATACAGATGAGTGACAAAGTGCCAGGAATGTAGTAGCGTGGTTAAAATTAAACCGATTATGCACATGTTGAACCATCCTGTGAGACTGAATACCAAAGAGGATGCAACACATCAGCTGGGTTTCAAGGGTGGGTATCATCTTTTATAGATAATGTATTAACAAAGAAATGCCAGCAGAAAAAGAAAAATGAAAATGATTATGATGCATGTTTTCAAACAGATAAGCAAGAGCAGGGTACTACACAAGATTAGATACTTGGGCATGGGCTTTTGCAAGTAGAAATGCTGATAAATCACCAAATAGATGCAGACAGATTTATTTGCAAGCTCACTTTGTTCCTCAGTCATAGGTGTATGATGATTCCCCAAGCAAAGTCTTTCATATCCACAATGAACTATGAATGGAAGCTTTGTGCTCCATGGCTTACTCCAGCCTCACTGTCAACATAGCCTGTAAGAGGATCTATCTATCCTTGATCCCACAAATGGAATTATAAAAACTTTAGAAGCCATCACATCAGCATCAAGAATCCAAATTGACAAAAATTACTGTCAAGCAGGATCAAAAATTTCTTTCCAAATTTCAGGTCAAAATTGGTATTTAGAACACTACATCAAAGAATTCCAGTAGGTATTTAATAGTAACCAATGTGATAACCAACAATTGCTTACTATTTTCTACTGAAATGTTCCATTATTTTGGTCTACCTCCTATGGTGGAAAGGCAATACACACAAGGACTTGAAAAGAGCAACAGACTTTTAAGATTTGAGTTTTGGTTTTGGCTAGCTGTTACCTTGTGGTTATATACTTTGGTCACCTATTTCTTCACCTATAATACAGATTTTATACCATCTGCTCATTTCTCTGGGTTATAATGAGAAATGAATTAAATAATCTGGGTGAAAGTGCTTACTAATTGTAAAGCACAACACAAAGGTAAGGCTTGGAAAGTATTAACACTTTTAACAGAACTACGAAATGTTAGAATGGGCCATGGAGGTAATCTATTACAATGATCTTAAATTTTTTAAAAAATCTACATTAGAGATGATTCAAGGTTGTATCACTACTCTCGCCTTCTTGCAGAAACTAATTTCCTTTGTTCAAAGGAAATATTTAAAGCAAACAAGCCAGACATGATGGCTCATGCCTATAATCCCAGAACTTTGGGAGGCTGAGGCAGGAGGATCACTTGAGGCCAGAAGTTCTGGACCACCCTGGGCAACCCAGCAAGACCCCAGCTCTACAAAAAACAAACAAAAAGCAAACAAAAGGCTAGTTTCTAAGGGTGAACCAGGAATTACCTGTACTCTTCTCCCCCTGCCCACTGTTGTGGTAGCCTCTGAAAGGGGTTTCCAGAATACGGAGCTCCAAGGAACAGTGTGAAAACCACTGATTTACCCCAACCCCTGGTTTTACAGATAGGAAAACAGGCCTAGAGAGCTAAAGCGAATGTCTATAAAAGTGTGGTTGCAGAAAGTAGACTGTTCGTATTGCCGGGTAATATTGAATGGTCTAACGTATGGTCAGCATTTGGTCAAGGTTCCTTAGAGACCTTGAAAAGCTTTCTGAAGAAGATTCTGCCTCTAATGCCTCCACAAAATCTGTGACGGCTGGTGCCTGTCCTGTGTTTTCCTGGGTCCCACAGTGGCTCAGATTACCAGGAACCATTCTTGTCTTTCTGGAGCCTCATAGCAAACAGCACCAAGTATTGGTGCTGCTGAGCAAATGGAAGGTTTCCGCTAAGACCTTCTGAGAGAGCTTGAGGAGTAGCCTCCTCAAGGGGCTGGTGACCGGTCCCACAAAGTATCTGTAAGTCTCCTAGAGAGCTGTGCTCACAACCTTACAGGCAACCCACTTCGTCCCTCCCTTTAGCCTGTTACTGAGTCCTGCTGACTTTCCTGCGATAATGTCTCTGCGCAAATGCCCCCCTGCTTTTCCATTCCACTGCTACCTTATGGTCCCATGTTTAGAATTTTGCATCAGTCTCTCAGTAGGCCTTCCTGCCTCCATGTTTTATTCCCTCTATTCCATCCCAAAACTATTTCCAGAAAGAGTATATGACTTGGAGGCAACAAAAAATCTGGATTGAAGTTCCTGTTCAACTATTAATATTTACTTGATGAGCAGCCTGAACTCTGTGCCTGTTCTTGTATTTATAAAGTAGGTATTATAATAATACCTGTCTGTGCTCTTTAGATCTCAGAAAGCATGAGACAGCCTTATGAAAAAAATATTTCAATTATAAAGCCATGAATAGACATTATCAGTAATATTAATAAACACTGATCATCTCGCTCCCTTGTTCAAAACGTTCAGTGATCCCTAATAAAAAGTCCATCACTCAAGTGCCACCAAACCTGGTGCCATCCACTTGTCAGGCTTCTCTCCCATCTCACTATACACAACATTCTGTGCCAGCCTAGGTAATCGCTCTACCTACCCCAACCCACCCTGTCTCAGAACCTTCAAGTTCAAGATTTCTTCTCAGCCTATCAAATATCTGCTCTGTCAAGCACAAAAGGTACCATTTCCTGAAGCTTCATCCAGTTTTTCTACACAGAAGTAATCTCTCTTGCCTGAACCACTCCCACCCCATGCTTCTCAGCAGGTACTACCCTAGATGCCCTTAGCTGCTATGGTGTAAATTTCCCTGAACGAACACACTAAAATCTAACTACATATTGATCAAGCTGTCCATAGATCAGCAGATCCAGTTATCAATATCCCAAGCTTAGGGACATTGGTAGGCCCATAGGCCCAGCATAGTATCCAGAATAGGTACTGAATGTGTATTCACAAATGGCAGAACAGATGAGTAAAAAAACTCAACAATGATATGAGACTTAAAAACAAAGTGGGACAATAGAAGGGCTAGACGATTCAGGCTCTGGGTGGCATTTACTGCTGCTACATGATGTGTCTGAGTTTAGTATGAACAGACTGGAGGTGCTCAAGACATTGTTGTCAGCTGCCCAGAGGATGAGTAGTAAATGGAAATTGGATGACCATGATGAAGTGTTTTAGGAAAGCACTGAAACTTTAGATACTATATCTCATAAAGCCTGGCATGGAAGAGACACTCAAACACTTGCTGAATGAACTCACAGAGGCAAGGCACACAAAAGCTGGGAAAAAACAGCATCAGGTGACTCACTGCCAGCCACACAGTCCTCTTGCTTAGCAAGGGACACAATGATGGAATGTCAGAAACTAAAATCTTACCAGGTGGGCAATGCAGTGGGGTAAAGCAGAGGACAGGAAGCCAGGGCATTCTGGGCAGAGGGCCTGGAGAGCGGGGATAGGAAAGGCCTGGCCCAGCAGCAGCAGATGGTGTCAGTGGGGAGGAAGGAAAACTGGGCAAGTTGCTGCCTTAGGAAATGGGGGCTGCAGTAAGTTTTTGAGCTGTGTGTTGCCCTCCAGAACCTTAGCAGTGCCAATTCCAAAGCAGAGGGATGATAGGACTACATCAACTAGAACTCAAGTCCCTTGAGGGCATGGACTGCATCTGTCTTGTTCATCACCCATAATTAAAGCCTAGAGCAATGCCTGGTACATAGGCAAGAATATTCATGTCAGAATACCTGGATTTAAATCTTAGCTCTCCCAGCTTACCAACTAGTTCGCTTGGGGACATGTTATTTAAGCTCTCTGTGCTTTAGTTTTCACATCTTTAAAATGGATAATAATAGTATCTATAATAGCTCCTAATTGGGAAGATTAAATGAGTTAGTATAAAAAAGCACTTAGCCAGCATCTAGTAAGCACTACATAAGTATTTGCTATTATTTATGAGAGGTTCTCTCTGGAGGCCAGTTCCTGGTAGGGGGACTCCCAATGGCACCTCCTCATCTCAAGCCGGAGGTGCACCTTGTGCCGAGCAACGCCAGTGCACAAAGGGTCTAGAGGCCCTACATCAGGAGTCTCAGCTTCTTCTTATCGGGGATGATATTTCACAGAGACTTACTCACATGGGTGTGGGAAGAGGCATGCTCTTTTGTCTGCTTGTAGCAGAATGCAAGAAGGGTAGTGACATGACCTTGAATCATTTCTAACATTTAAAGAAAGCCATTTGCAGACCACCTGCAGGTACTGATAACCATCATTTGTAACAAAGTACATGAGGCATACCAAGTAATCCCAGTATCTCAGAGGAGCCGCAAGTGCCAGGCAACCAAGTCTGCCCAATGACATCTACAAGTATTTTTTGTGTGTGTGATCCAATTTGATTTTCACTAAAAAACTCAAAGGAGGGGGAAAACATGATTTGTCTCAGAATCAAAGGAACAGACATGAGAGAAGTAGTATTGCATAGTGATACTGAAAAGCAGAGGAGGGATGACGTCTTTTGTTTCCTCAAAAAGCCACAGTGATTTTGTAGTCAAGCACTTGTCTCGTTTTCTCCCAAAGTGGCAGCACCAACATTCCTGCTCATCCCTGACTATCCCGCAATGCCTGTAGGTTGCTAGGCGACTATAACAGTATAAGGTCTCCACCTTGCTTTCTAACTACCCACAATATACAGCTTTCATAACTGTTCTCACTGGGTTTGCCAACAACATCTATGGCACTATCCTTTCAGCCAAGGATTTTCTTAAAGCTCACCTTCTTGCCTCCTTGGTCCTGTGGTGAAATTTAAACACTGTATTTGTCATCATGTTCCAATAATTTCCATAACAGGCTGCCCATCAAGCATGGGATGATTTTATGGTATAATCAGAACAGATGGGAGGAAAATCTTATTAGAATAAATACCTTTCCATAAAAGCGAACAATCAGACAAAAGAGGAAATATTCAGCCAATATAACATTCTAAAAAGTTCAAGCTAAACTGTTAGTTTTAAGTTACTTTGAGAATATACATCTGGCTGAACATATTTACCTTGATGAAACAGAATAATTTTGATCAATTTTTAAATTAACAACATATGAGCTTAGAAAGGGCTGTATGTCTAAGGTCACATATTTTACGTCTATGTGTTACACATGCAAAACAGATGAAGGCTTTTGAAGGCTTTATAAGGCGCTTTCTTAAATCCCAGAGGGCCTAATGAATATGAGCCACGAAAAGTCACGCAGGGCAAGATGGCTGACCAAAGACACCAGCTGCCTGACATCTTAGTAAGGAGGAGAAGCTTTAGATGAAAGAGAAAGACCAACAGACAGAAAAACATAGATTGGACATGGGTCTGAAGGAGGGGTGCCAGAGCCTTCAAGAGACTCCATGGGGAGAAGCTGCAGAGCAGAACAAGGAGGAGCAAGGGGCTGGGCGCGGTGGCTCACGCCTGTAATCCTAGCTCTCTGGGAGGCTGAGGCGGGCGGATCGTTTGAGCTCAGGAGTTCAAAACCAGCCTGAGCAAGAGCAAGACCCCGTCTCTACTAAAATTAGAAAGAAATTAATCGGACAACTAAAAATATATAGAAAAAATTAGCCGGGCATGGTGGCGCATGCCTGTAGTCCCAGCTACTCGGGAGGCTGAGGCAGGAGGATTGCTTGAGCCCAGGAGTTTGAGGTTGCTGTGAGCTAGGCTGACGCCACGGCACTCTAGCCCGGGCAACAGAGTGAGACTCTGTCTCAAAAAAAAAAGAATGAGCAAGGTATCAGCAGAGATCAACCCCCAAGAGGCTTGCAGTCCAGTGAGAAGAGTAGGTGGAGCGGTTTGTTTCTCCCTCCCTCGCATCTCTGACAGTCTCTCCTGTAGTTCCTGAGCTATAGGAGAGACTTTTTGCCCATATGAGCCCAGAGGCTCATGCTGGGCACAAGGTGTACCTCTGCCTTGAGATGAGGAGGTGCCATTGGGAGTCCACTACCAGGCACTGGCCTCCAGAGAAAACCTCTCATAGATAACAGCAAATAACTTATGTTATTTTGTTACACAGAGAAGGACAGAATTCTCCCCAACTCATTCTATGAAGCCAATATCACCTTGATACCAAAGCCAGGAAAGGACACAACAAAAAAAGAAAACTACCGGCCAATATCCCTTATGCATATAGGTGCAAAAATTCTCAATAAAATTCTAGCAAACCAAATTCACCTGCATATCAAAAGAAAAAAAAAATCCACCATGATCAAGTGGACTTCATCCCAGAGATACAAGGATGGTTCAACATACAAAAATCTATAAATGTGATTCATCACATAAATAGAAGCAAAAACAAAGACCATATGATCCTCTTGATAGACACAGAAAAAGCATTCGACAAAATTCAGCACCCTTTTATGATAAGAACTCTTAACAAAATTGACATAGAACATACTTCAATATTATAAAAGCCATATATGACAAACCCACAGCCAACATCATACTGAACGGGAGAAAATTGAAAGCATTCACACTTAGAACTGAACCAGACAAGGTTGCCCATTGTCACCACTGTGTTCAACATAGTGCTGGAAGTCCTAGGCAGAGCAGTCAGGCCAGAGAAGGAAATCAAGGGTATCCAAATGCGGAAAGAAGTCTGACTATCTCTCTTTGCAGATAATATGATCTTCTATTTAGAAAATCCCAAAGATTTTGCCAAGAGACCCCTGGAATTATATATAAATTTGGCAAAGTCTCAGGTTACAAAATCAATGTACACAAATCAGTAGCATTTCTATACACCAACAACAGTCAAGCTGGGAATCAAATCAAAGACTCAATACCTTTCACGATAGCAACAAAGAAAATAAAATACCTAGGAATATATTTAACCAAGGAGGGGAAAGACCTCTATAGGG